AATATTCCTATATACCAGAAATAAACTCAAATAGTACATTAAATCAATATTATTTTAGCAATCGGTTAAATCCAAAAATTCGATTCTTAGGAATGATAAACGATAATACTATTGTCCTTAAGGAATGATAAAACTATTGTCCCTAAGAAATGATAAATGCATCATACCTTAGGAACGATAAACTATCGTTCTTTAGGTATGATAATACCATTGTCTCTAAGGAATGATAAAACCATCGTCCTTAAGGAATGATAATACCATTGTACCTTAGGAATGATAAAACTATCATTCCTTAGGTACGATAATACCATCGTCCCTAAGGAATGATAATATCATCATCCTTAAGAAATAATAAAACTATTGTATCTTAGAAATGATAAATATATCATACTTAAAAAATGATAAAATTGTCATACTTAAAGAATGATAAAACCATTGTGCCTTAGGAACAATAAATGCATTGTACCTAAGAAACGTTAATACCATCATTCTTTAGGTACAATAAAACAATTATTCCTTAGAAATGATAAATGCATCGTACCTTAGGAATGATAAAACTATCATTTCTTAGGAATAATAAATGCATCGTACCTTAAGACTGATAAAACTATCATTACTTAGGAACGATAAATGCATTGTACCTTAGAAATGATAAAACTATCATTCTTTAGGTACAATAATACTATCGTCTCTAAGGAACGATAAAACAATTGTCCTTAAGGAATGATAAATGCATTATTCCTTAGAAATGATAATAACATTGTCTCTAAGGAATGATAAAACTATCATACCTAAGGAATGATAAATGCATCTTTTCTTAAAAATGATAAAATTGTCATATCTAAGGTATATTAATAACATCTTACTGTTATGGTCAGTTCTTTAAGATGCTTATGAGTGATAATCGAAGCAATATTTATGGGTGGTAAGCAGAAGGTTTAATTTGATATTTAGATTTAGAAGAGTGTCGGTAAATTAACAGTTTATTTAATAACTATAACAATGGAGTACTGCCTCAGTCGGCGCTCTGTACTATACAATTATGTTAGAGGGATTAAACTAAACTATTATATAAAACTATATGTCAGACACACTGCTAAGCTAAAGGAAATTGTCCTCTATTTATATAAAATGAAAAATATAAAGTTATCGAAGATATAAAAGAAATAAATATAATAAATAAAATATATGAAATAAATATAATATAATAAATAAATGATATAAATAAGATAAAATAAATAAAAGAAATATAATGCATAAAAGAAATAAATATTATAGATGTCATAGATAACATAGAAGACATATATAATTTCTTAGGGATCGACGTCATCCTTTAGATCATCATTATCCATGTCTTCTTTTATGTAACATTAGCTTTGCCAGTACCATCTATTGAGACTCAGCCAATCCCAGCTTTAAAGAAGAATACAAATAATATGGATGCATTGTATGAGAAGATGGTCGAAAAAAGTATAAAAATTGTAGATGAAAAAAAGAAGCGTTATCCTGAAAATAACAAAAATGATGTGGTCTCTTCCTCTGATAATTTGTCTGATATATTTCGAGAAGTCAGGGTAAAATCTTTTCTTAAAAATCTAGTTAATCGCGGTGAAAAGCTTAAAGGTTTAACAGCTAATATCATCCTTATATAAAGATTCATATGTATTGGCAAGAAATTTACCAGTATTTAAGGCTAAATAGAACATTTCTTTAGTTTTTATAAGGCGCTTTTTAAGCTCTTTACATTTTTTTTAAGTCCTGCTCTGGCTTCTTTTCTATAGTGAAGATATTGCATTGGGATTTGTGAACTGATAGGAGGATGGTGATAGTCTTTCCATTTCAGCTTACCTTAAATTTCCCCTTCATTAAGGGTTCCCATCCTGCACAATATTGCCATTGTATCCCAAGAATAAATAGTGATAATTCTTTTCTACTATTATCATATTCTGTAGGGATGACAAAGAATTCATCTAGAATAGTGTCTCTATTTTCTCCATCCTCAATAGTTACAGGAATACTATAAACTGTACCAAGGGAATGGAACTTACTTGTGATCCCATTAAGTCTGTAAATCTTTTTCTTATCTATTTTTAGATCCAAATGTTTTGCAATATTTTCTAAAATAATTGAGAAGTTTGATCCACTATCAATTATTGCATAGGATATAGTTATGCTTCCCACCTTACAAGAGATAATCGCAACATCATTAGCATTCTTTATTTGTAAAAAATTTATCTCTAAGGGCTTAGACCAATATATTTGTCTATTTTTTTTTTTAGCTAAACGACATTGAGCATAAGCCTTAATAGTGTGATTCAAAGTATATCTACCTCCTGAGTGGTTATTATCTGGCAAAGATTCTATTTCCATAATATTATTTGTCTGAGAAGAAGATAGAATATCTAAAGGGGCTTTTGCTCAATTTTTACTACCTGCAATAGCGGAAATAAAATCTCTTAAACTTTGCTTGTAATATTCTCTTATGCTATTTCCCTTTTTTTAACTATATTATTTAATATAACAGTATTCAAGCAATGGTCTTCTAATTTGAGGTATATTATATTAATAAATTTTGAAATTTCTATAAGAATCTCTTTAGGCAATGGAGGACTACTAATGATATTATAGATTTTAAGGCTATTTGATACATTTGATTCATAGCTATGTGAAGTGTCTAGTTCAAAGAATCCCTTTAGCCATGGCTGATTATATTGTCTGATGCTTTGCTAGCATGAGATTTAGAAGTAAGGGATTCCTTCTTGTGAGTCTTTTTCATAGGTACTACACTTTGTACCACTTTTTTTTATAGTATAGCAGTTTTGGTCAATAATATTTAAAGCAGATCTAGGACGAAGATTGATGGGTTTAGGCACAATTTTATTATAATATTGTCTAAAATAATATCAATACACTTATTAGGCCTTAGTCTGTTAATATGAGTTTCTAACATATTCAACGATTTATAGCAATTTCAATGATTTATAGCAGTTTGTACAAGTATACTACAATAAATATCAGATTTATTTTTATTCGATTACAAATATATCGGGAATTTATATAGGAGCATATCTAATTTTATATTCAATAGTTTGTGGAATATTACGATTACAAGCAGATTGAAGGATTTATATATATGCATGTGAATTATTTGTGAATCCCTCTGATCATTTTTCTTGACGTCATGTTTCGGTTAAATTAGGCCCAAGTCAATAATGGCTAAATTATTTTTCAAAAACCATTCCTAAAAGTTAAAGGCACTTCGCATGACGTATACTGTATTACAGCTATCACTCTAACTCCCTGCCAGTTCCTCAATAATTCTAGAAATATTTCAGGCACTGGCGAGTTTCTATGCACAGCGTTTTCGGTTAAATCATAAGAAGATTGGTTAGGGGTATTCGATGAGCAGTTATACATCATTTATAAGGATATATAGTTAAAAAAATGAGAAAGGTCCAATGCAAACAAAACTTTATTGTTTTAACTGCATCATGCTTTACAATACTAAGTATAAAAAATATGTAAAACCACATTCAAAAAAAAATACAGGTGTCTGTTCGGTGCCGTAATTATATCACGTGACTGTGGCGTAGTCAATACCACTAATCCTCAATGATATATATGACGATCTTATGATCTTTGATCTGCAGAGAAAAAGTTATTTTTTATTTGACTAATCCCTTACGGAAGAAAAAATATATTCTCGAAGTCTTGATATCATTTTATCTTTTTCTGAGCATGTGAAGAAAAAGGGCATTTTATCATTTATTAACCCCTTGAAAATCGATAAAAATGACTTCAGGAATAGCTTAGACATTCATAAATCTCATGATTGCCAGAAAAAATATTCATACCCAAAAATTGTTTTATTGATATAATAATAGGCATAACACGCAAAGAAAATACAGTATGTGTGATTTACATATCACACAGCCCCTATTATTCAGTAAGAATTTTCCCAATATCATAACTGCACTGAGTGACCGACTATTTCTACTGTTATACTTTTTTTAAGAGCGTAACTCTAAAGGAAAGGCAGATTTAGGACTGATATATTTCTAATACCTCTAAATAGAATTCTCAGTGATCGATCGTTACATATACTGCAGGGATTTTTTTTATATAAGCCATTCATGAAGAATTAGAGATGAAATAGATGCTGAAATTAAGAGATAATCTTGCACATGATTTTTAAGTCACATGATCCTGATCGTTTTCTAAAGGAACAGTTTTCTTAAATTTCTGATCGTTATTCACGCAATTTTTTAGTAAGAAGAATATACACAAATAAATATCACGTGCGCTTTACACAATCACTTTAACTAAGTGCTGACATAGTAATAATTGACATCATGATATAATAATTTATATTGCTATACGTTGTCATGATGTGGATTTATTAATTAATTATTAATGAAATGCTAAAATTTTTAAACGTTACATTTGCAAAAAAAGATTAGTTGTTAACTATTAGTAAAATAAACTCTAATGCTAAAATTTTTAAACGTTGCATTTTGTATAAAAGCAATTTCTATAATTCTATCATTATCATAAATGCCAATCATTAATTAAAGACCTTTCCTGTTTAAAAATAAGGGGTAAAAACGATTTTATTGTTTTCTTTCTATCCAGCTGTTTCTTTTTATTAATCATACTCCATCGAGAACCAAGTAGCCAGGAAAATGTAAAAAGTAACTTTGATAATCTTTTACTAATTTCTCTTTTACAATTAAAAGATCAGATATTTTCAATATAGATAGCTCTATTGGTAACAGGATTTTTGCCTCGCAATACTATAGAATCTACCTCTTTCATATCTATGCTATAATTACTTGTATCATTATCAATATAGATACCCAGAATAATACCTTCAAAATTATTGTTATCAAAGGCAGACCTAAGATAAACTAAAACAGGAATATCTTCATTTTGATATTTTGTTATTTTGCATTCTTATTTTGAATCGAAATGATACTATACTTGTTAGTGAAGTATTTGAAAGGAATAACGTAATCAATAATGGAAAATCCTAATGGCATCTTGAAGGCAGTGTGTCTGTGATAAGCTTCTCGAATAAGATTTTCTGATAAATATTTCTGTCCCCTTCTTTCACATATTGTTTATTTGAAGCTAACAAAAATGTCCAGTAGTTAAAACCAATTTCTGCCTTATCTATATGCATCTTTTCAAAAAGATCATCAATTTTTTCATCAATTCCTTTACAGAGAGCTTTTAAAAATAATAATAAGAGAACCTTTTTCAAGTATATAAATGGTGATGTCTAATTTATTTTCACAGTATGAATATATGCTTTTAGGAACAAGATGCGACTGACAAGCTCTCCTCTTTCTCCTGCCTCAACTACTCTATGGCTGAACTGTTTCAACAGTGTATCCAAACAATCTTCAAGACCAACTTTGATGATTCCTTTTAATATACCAGATGCAAGGATAGGATCAGAAGGAGATGTGCAAAGAAGGTCTGTACGATCATCTGATACGCCTATAGCAGTTGCCATATGAGATGCTATTAACATTTCTACCTCTGCCATTCGAAGGCAAACTTCAAGAGCAAAAGAACAGGACATGTATGCAAGGTTAGTGAGATTATCTTTTTCTTATTTTTTATTAAAATTGTGAATTTTTTGTAAAGTCAGATGTAGAACATTGGTGAGATCAACTCCAGTTTGAGCAAGAGATCCCTATAGAGGAATTCCTAAATATAATGTCCTTTGTAGATCATAAGAATTTCCAGGTAACGCAATTCTTGATAATACGTATATAGTATAAACATCTAAATATGTGGGAAATAAAAAATATTCGTGTATTCTGGCAGAATAAGTGTCTTTAATCTCTAGGGAAAAAAAATTGCCAATTTTTCCGTTTGTGCTTAAGAGAACATTTATCGGCAAATTTTGTAAGGATCAGACCTGTGCAGTTTTGCAGTATAGAGATCTGTGCAATTCTGCGACCCTACCGGCGTGCAGTGCAGAAAAAAATTACAAAAATCTGTGCACATCTCTGAGAGTTCAAAAATCTGCGCAGATTTTTAT